AGTTCTATATATATATATATATATATATATATATATATATGTTTATTTGCCCATTTTTCACTCAACGGATTTGGAACACAATGTTATAGGAAAAGTATTTAGTGGCCCCACATTACCACAATGTAGACTTGTTCGCCGAACGACCACTTTAGGTAATTTGAATGACCGTTTAATTCTCAAAGCCTTTGATTAGTGGAAAAAAGTATATTAAAGGTTGTTATCTTTCTTGTAGAAATAAGTTTGTACATTTTTTATTTTATTTAAATTGGATAGGTGGGTTTGACACTTTCTAGAGGACGATCACTTTTTTATTACCAAATAGACAGTTATTTATCCGAAATTACAAGCATCACCTCCCCAATCTCATAGGGTTTTTCTTCAAAAGTTGTCCTCCTTTATGGCAATACAAGTACCCGATAGGATTAGTAATAATTTTTCAAAAAATTACAAAAAACCCCAAGCTGACACTTTTTATGCAACTTGCTTCCAATCTAATTTTTTCTCTCATTGTTTTCCCCAAAACAAACTTTCTATGCAAATACCTTCATAGAAAATTTTTTTTTTTTTTAAACAGAAATACTTTTCTCATATACAAAACTCATTTTGGCCTTGATGTTGACTTTTGGACCCAGTAGCACATTGCCAAAGCGCACAAGTGCCGCACTAGACTGCCATGTACATAGTGCCGAAGCCCTGAAATCCAGTAACATCTAGTACCAGACCGCCCTTTACAATTGTCGGACCACCCCTTGCAACTGCCGGACCACCCTTTGCAACTGCCGGACCTTTACATAGTGCCAGAGCTTGAAATTAAGTAACATCTACTATCAGACCGGCCTTTGCAACTGCCGGACCACCCTTTCCAACTGCCGAACCGCACGTTGCAACGGTTGGACTGCCCTTTACATATTGCCAGAGCCATACTACTGGACCGCACTTTGTACCGGAGCCCTACTTCGCGACCACACTTTACACGGTGCCCGAGCCCTTATTTTGGTGGGATAGATGAGAGAAACGTGAGTAAGAAAAAAAAATTAAGGGAGGGTAGTTTAGGAATTTTTTTATTTTTTATTTGGTTGGCGGCATTTGCATAGATCGTATATTTTGGGAAAAAATTGTATATTTTGGAAAAAAATGTGAAAAAAAAAATTAGGTTAAGGTAAGTTATATAGAAAGTGTAGTATTGTCGGTTTTTATGTAATTTTCTTTTTTTTAAAGTGAAAGAGTTGCTTGGGGGTTTGAATTACCGGACAGAGTTTGTTTAGTTGCTTGATGACCGACATTCGAAGTACCAGAGATCTGTATGGGATTTTTTCTCTCTCGATCAGCGTGAGTGGCGCTCTCTCTCACTCTCTGAATAACGGGTCTTCCTCTCTCAGACAAAACAGTAAAAGCTTCTCTCCCTCTGAGACTGGTTCGCTCTTTGCCTCTATATTCCTTCCCCTCCCTCAGCCCATCCGCCCTTTTCTATTTATAAATGGAAAATTTTGGAAGACAATTTTTGAAATTAAGAAGACACTATTATCATGTACGGTTAACCTATTCTTTAGAGAGAGAAAAGAATTGGGGGAAAATGGGGAGAAGAATTCAGGCAATAAAAGTTAGGGAAATCGTATAAAATCCGCAGGGAAAGAAACGGGGCCAATGTAAGAGACACGTGAAATGGTTTTTGAATGGGTTTAGGTGCTTTGAGGCTAAACAAAGGGAAACCTAGGGTTTCTTGTACGCAGGAGAGAGAGAGAGACCCTTTTAGGGAGGCCATTTTTCAGCCGATACCGGTTCTTTCCAGCCACTCTCTTTCCTTTTCCAGCCACTCTCTTTCCCCCAAATCTCAACCATTTTTAGCCGTGGTTTTTTTTGCCAATGGAAACCTTCTTCTTTTCTGTTATCACTCCACATGGGGTTATCACGCCATATAAGAAAAACCCCGTATAGTTGTTCAGTATTTCGAATATTGGATAACTCTTTTATTTTGAAAAAAAAATAGTTCCCCTCATGTCGGTATCTGTATTGCCAAGACACAACTTAGAAAAATAAAAAGTGATGCTCGTAATTTTGGATAAATGAGTTTCCCATTTGGTAATTGACCCATGATGTCCGTACTTTTAATTTAAAAATAAAAAAACAAAATTTGGAACTCAAAAACCTTTGATCCATCCACCCTCCTAGATTAGCTGTGCTGATCCATTCACCCTCCTAGATTGACTTTGCAGGTCCATTTAATACAATGCATATTTTTCTTTTTTCCAATAGATTTTGCCTGCTGCTGGATTGCCTACAGCACACAGGAGTCGAAACAGGGGAAAGCCCTCGACGAATTTCAAGAGGGCCGAAAAACCCTAGAAGAAGGGCTCAAGGGGAAGTTTTTCAGTGGAGAAAATATTGGATTTGTAGACATCATTGTAAATTTTCTAAGCTTGTGGATGGGAGCTATAGGGGAAGCTGCAAATATTGAGTATTATGATGCTGAGAAGACCCCACTTATTCATTCTTGGATTGAAGAGTTTATAAGCGTTGAGGTTGTGAAGGAGAGCCTGCCTTCTCATGATATGTTTATTGCCTTTTTCAAAGGTTGACGTGAGCTTGCTTGCTACCCCAACTTCCACCAAATCAAGGTAAATGGTTTAATTTAATTGTGTTGGTTGAAATTAAAAAATGTATTATGTACAATAAAGATTTGAGCTTTTCTCATAAAAGCAAGAAAAGCTAAATCTATCTTTTCTTGTGTTCAAATAATGTAGGCCCATAGCGATATTTATTTTAGGAAAATTATCTTCATACCACTCATTTTTATGTTTTATATCTTAATAGACCTAAAGTTTCAAAACATACATTAGGTCATAAAAATTCTAAGTTTTATATTTTTTAACTCCCTAGGCTAATTTTATTCTTTTTAAACCTAGTTCTTTTTCCAAAACAAATATAAGAAAAACATATTCATTTCTAAACCCCATCCTTTCTCTTTCTTCACGTGATTTTTCCTTAAATCTTTCTTTTTACCTATTTTCCCACTCGCTCTTCTCCCCTATCCTCCGTTAGAGAGACAAAGATGACGAATTTTAGAGAGAGCGAAATTTGGGGGAATATATCACATAAAGAGAGGAATGGTTCAGAATGAGCAAGTTTTTTTTTATATTTATTAGGGTTAAAAAAAAAAAAAAGTGGGTAAGCTAGTTAGGGGGTTAGGAGATATATTTTGAACTTTTGAATCTATTGA